TCCTCCTCGTCCTTGCATTTTCTCGATGGGGGCCATTCTAATCTTCGATGTATCATTCCAATTTTAATGGATGTCACGAAGGACGTCCTTGCATTTTCCGTCGCCGCGGGCTTACGGCTACTCGCACGCAAACACGCCGCTCTCTCATCTCTCTCTCTTTTCTTTTTTTCTTTTTTATTGTTTTTGTTGCCGCTCTCATCTCTCGTCCTTGCCGCTCAGATCCCCCTCTCTGGTGACCTGGGGCCAAGTACCACTGCCTGGTAGCAGGCGTCGAGTGTCGTCAACGCCCGAATGTGGACCTTCTTGTGGAGATTTGCGGTTGCAGAAAATCAACTCAACGCTATTTTCGGCATCTGTCCACAAACACGTCCAGATTCGGCCATCGATGCAAGGCACAGCTGCTACTAGGGGCACCGTGGCCCTGGGCCCGTCGAGTAGAGTATAGATCTTTTTCTCAAAGATCAACGGTCAAAACGGAGTTAATCATTGCTGGCTGGCTTAGATGATTAACTCCGTTTTGACGGTTGATCTTTGAGAAAAAGATCTATACTCTACTCGACGGGCCCAGGGCCACGGTGCCCCTAGTAGCAGCCGTGCCTTGCATCGACGGCCGAATCTGGACGTGTTTGTGGACAGATGCCGAAAATAGATGGCGGATGCTGCCTCGTGAATAGCCATGAAATGGAGGCTGTCCGAATTTGGGTCTGAAATCACTTGGCTATGGGCCTCGTTCCACTGCTTGCCATCCGCCATGCATGGCGCATGCGACTTCGTTCCACTGCATCGCCAATAGCCACAAAATGGACACTGTCAGAATTTGGGTCTGAAATCACTTGGCGATGGGTCGCCAAGGCTTTCCATTTCCCCTGCCTGCAACGGCCCTTCGTGGAGGGCGCTACTCCTCACCCCTCCGCGAAATGCTTTGTGTGGCGATTGGCCCTGACACCGCGGTCCTGACAGTCGACCTGCGTTGTCCCGTAGTGTTGGCGAGTTTTCGCTGCACCTGGAGTGATTTCCAGTCGGAGTACATGGTGAAGAGAAGGCCTCCACCGTTCTATTAGCCCGCCACCCGCCATAGTCCGGGGAGCAGGCCGGGACAGCAACCACAGCGCACTTGGCGGAGGCCTTGTAATGGAACCAAAAGCCGTTTTCTGCCAGAAAAATGCACTTTTCGGCCTCGCCAAGTCTCACCACTGTTTGCGGCGGATGGCAAGTAGTGGAACGAGGCCCTATGGGTCGCCAAGGCTTTCCATTTCCCCTGCCTGCAACAGCCCTTCGTGGAGGGCGCTACTCCTCACCCCTCCATGAATGCTTCATGTGGCAATTGGCCCTGACACCGCGGTCCTGACAGTCGACCTGCATTGTCCCGTAGTGTTGGCGAGTTTTCGCTGCACCTAGAGTGATTTCCAGTCCGAGTACATGGTGAAGAGAAGGCCGCCACCGTTCCATTAGCCCGCCATCCGCCACAATCCGGGGAGCAGGCCAGGACAGCAACCACAGCGCACTTGAAGGCGGCGATGTAATGGAACCAAGAGCCGTTTTCCGCCGGAAAAATGCACTTTTCGGCCTCGCCAAGTCTCGCCACTGTTTGCGGTGTGACGAACCACTTTCTGTAACGCGCAAGTTTCTGCGCGGTTGCAACGAGGGGTCCTAAGCTGGGAAGATTGGGCCAATTACGGGAAATCGGGATCGGTGGAAAATTGCATCAGTACCCTTGCTTCTTCGTCTTTTTCGTCGCTTCTTCGGGCCGGGTGTGCTGGGACGGCCGGTAGAATGGTTGGTCGGATGGATGTTTGGCGCGCCACCGCGCGCGCGATTAATAAATGTTGATGTCGTTTCTCTTGGTTCGGTTTTCGATCTTTTGGGCGCGGACATCGCGCGGGAAATTGCTTCGTTCTTTGCGGCTCCGGGCGGTTTGCCCGTTATTTTTTTCGTTTCGGCTTTCCGAAATCTGGGCTTGGGTTTTGCTCACACTTGTCTTTGCTATGTCCGTCCCGATTGCGTTATGTGTGTGATTATCGAATGTATGGATGTATGAATGGGTGAATGCGTGGACGTTATGCCTGCTTGTATATCTTTTTGCTAAGAACCCCTGTCCTTGCTTTTCGCTTGTAACAAATTTTTGCCCACACCTGATGCAGCTGTAGATGGGATAAGGATCTCGCCCCGATAGCGATTCTGTTCTCGCTTTTGCTTGTCTCATGATGGAGTGTGATATGGTTGCATCTTGCATAATCCGGAGCAATTAAATAATCCGAGGTCTGGCTCCGGGAACGTCGCACGAGGACACATGTAAACGCGATCCAAGTCGCGCCCTTACACGCATTCCTGTACGACGATTCGCCCACCCAGAAAGATTCGCGGCGGAACCGTCATCCCGTACGAGCACGCTGAGCCGTCACGGCGTCTGCCTGCCCTGCACGTGCTCGTGCGCAGTGATGATAGCCCGACCCGCGCTATCCCCCCACCAATGATACCATGACGCGATCTTGGGGCTCAGACTCGTCCTATGACCCGGACTACTTCACCCCTATAATACTCATAAGGACACGATACCCTTGTCACACGGAGAATAGGCTATGTCCGCGGGAATTCCATTGTGCCATCACTAGCGACCCTCGGTGCTCCGATTTCCCTTCCCCCGACCACACTTACTACACCCACCGAGGATTCGTTGAGATCACCACCAGTTTCCGTCCTTTCCACCTCCTCTCGTATCATCAACTCAATGTTGTCCTGTGGTCGGCCATTGCCCCCTATTGGCCCAATACGTTTTGCGTGAACTGCGGACGTAGCGGCGAACAGAGAACTCCGGAATTCCGAAGGCCGAACTCTGCCACGCGGCGACCTGCGCCCCGTGGCGGCTCCCGACGGCCTAATTTTTCAGGACCGTCTCCAGCACGGAGGAATTTTTTCGTAACCCGTCACCCACAGTGCCCCGGCCCCCTCGGGCCTTGAGTCCCCTATGCACGCGCCCCTCGCCCAATTGCATTCATATCCTTAAGACTCCCCCACTTTCCCAAAAATCCTTGGCACACCCCTTTTCGTACTTCCAGGCCCATATCCCACTCCGATCAGGAAGTCGCGCTGGGCATGAGGTTGGTATCGGAGCCCGACACGTGGTTAGGGTCTTAGGATTGATAGCACGTTAATTAGGCGACCTGGCTAACCCTGGGCGACCTCGCCCTCGGAACGCACCTAGACGCGACCCTATCGTCACCAGAAGCAGATCGGCTTACCGACGAGCAACCAATATGGCTGCCAACGTGCAAAATCCGGTTCTGCAACAAAATGCTAATCCACCTAATCAACCTGCCCCTCGTGCACGAGCTCCCATGTCACCACCAGATCTCTATCTATTTGATCCGGCGCACCATCTCGCAGGAGCATGGTTGACCACGCTTAGAGCACAGCAGTACGATGATCACGAGGTACTGATCAACATTCTCGCTCGAATGGGAGGAAACGCTCATCATTGGTATAGTACCTATGTATGGGCGGATCTCCCGACCTTCGAACGAGACTTCATGAATCGATTTGATTATGTACACCCTGAGCAAGCGTTGTACATTATCAAGGACCGAGTGCAAAAACCTCTCGAATCCGTTGTAGAATATCGAAACAAGTTCTATAGAATGTTCGTGAAGACTGAGCGAGGTGAGCAAGTAGGGAGAGATTTGTTCATTGACGGACACCGCAGTCGAACAATAAGGGCTAAGTTGCGAAAGTAGTTTTCCCCCATCACCCATATGCTACAACAAATTATGGCTGCTGCGGAAGAAATGGAACGGAAGTTCGCAGCGAACTTCCTGGAAGGAGAAGACTATCCTAGGGACGGAGATTCGACCGAGCTCGCTCGAGCGAGAGCGGAGCTGGCTGCCTTGCAGAAGAAATTTGAAAACATGGGGTTTGTATCAGGACCTGTCACCTATATGGAACAGATAGGCCCCAAACGAGTAATCCTAAGTGAGACTCCGAGCATCTCTGCTCCTATGATGCCCCCGCCCGTCAGGGCATTATCCCCACCGCCAGTAGAGGCTCCTTTACGATCAAACGAATCAGCGGTCATTTTCGAATTAACCAAAACTTTGATTAGTTTGATCTAAGAAAGCAAAAAGGAACAGCGAGAGCACAATGCTCGGCTGAAAGCCATGATGAGGAACATGCGACCTATTGCGGTGCGTGCCCCTCCGATGCAACAAGGATTAGCCCCTGCCCTTCCTCTCGGAGGAGCTGCGACCAATCTGAATGTTTGCTACGCCTGTCATCAGCCCGGACATCTAGCCCGTGATTGCCCACACCGACCCCCACAACAATGGATCGGAGTCGCACCTATGGCTGCGGCCCCCATCGCCAACGGACCTGGACGAGTCGGAGCCTTGATGGAAGAAGTAGAGGTGGGGGAAGTGCCCAGGCCACCACGGAAGAGGCCGCCGAGCTAATTCCGCTAGATCAGTACGTATCGCTGGGATAGCACTTGAATTGGGGCTCGCGACCCCAAGCAGCACTAGCTCACCCGGCCGTTCAACCATAGCAAGAGACAGGGGCGCCCCTTTTTTTTCTTCACTCGTTCCGACGACTCAGATCTTGATCATTCTCAGACTAATTCATGACTCGGTTGGATTAGGCTCCTAGGGAAGGAGTATTCTTCATGCCCCTTAACCCATAGGTTCCCTAGCCTCTCTTGTACTCGACCAATCATTCAATGCCATGGTTCGCTCGTCAATCCGTACTCAAGGTTTTCCCCTCTCAAAAGCATAATCCTTATTCCATCCATAATTCACAATACACCCTCTCCCAATTGGTCTCATCCCAAATCTCATATCTCTGTCTTATGTACCCAAGGTATCTCATCCAAAAAGTAGCCTAAAAAACTATCTTCTATCTTATCGTGACACAACCTTAGCTGACCCTCTTTTCACTTCATCCTTAGCAAGCTTGCCCATACTGTACACGTTCTCGTCATTCTCATGTCTCCGCAGAGAGAAAAGCAGCGATCCTTATCAATGCTAAGTCAACACCTAGTTCCTATTGCTGCCTTGCGCCTCGTCTTGCCCAGTTCCTTGTCCACCCTGTTCCTCGGCAGGCTTCCTAACCCCCAGGCCGTAGGTCTCAATTTCTCTCTTCTTTCTTGCAATTCCCTGTAACTCAATTTCACTGAAGAAGTCCAGCGACGTAGCTTCCACTCCCGCCTTTGCCAGTTCCCGGGTCTTGATAATCCATTCGTGTCTGATCACATCGGTCCATTGTTGAAACCAATGACTTGGTGTTGGCCCAAACTCGTCCTCCCATCCGAAAGCCCCGCCGCCCGGCTGGTGCATCGGAGGCCGCCCTTCTTCTCTAGGTCTCGAGATCTCATCCCTCTCATCCCCGCTGCTGATTTCTATGACTTCTCGTACATCCTCCTCCTCGTCCTCCTCGTCTTCTGTCTGTATGGGGCTATACCCACCTGCAAGGTTCTTCAGATCGTAGGTAAAAAAAATCTCTGTCCCCGTCCCATACCCCTCACAACTGTCGTGGCCGCTTCGTCCTTTAAGCGGACTTTCCCTTCTCTCCTCACCCTCCTGAGCTTCGTCGCGCATGTCTTGTCCCCCCTCGCTTTCCACATGCCAAGTCTCACGTCGTTTGCCCCTGTTGGCTCCTTCCTCGTCAAAGACCTGAACCTTATCTCCCGTATCTGCATTGCCTCCTTCTTCCACTTCTGCCTTTTCCTTCCCTCCCTCACTGTAAGACGAAATTTCTATACCTTCTCCCTTGTGGAGGGGTGAGGGTTTCCTACACAAGCATTTCCTTCCACCCCTGCCTACCACTGGCCCACCCATGAGTCCTATGTACAACTTTCTCTTCGCTGCCCTCCTCCCTTGGCTTGGTCCTGCTTCCCCCCCTCCGGTAGGCCTGTTGATCGCCCCGCTGTCGTTCTCGTTGCCGAATTCCATTTTTTTGCCTCTTCTCGTTTTTTTCCTAGGTCCTGTATAACAAAACAACACCCGCAATGCCCCGCATACACACATCCCCCCCAGTCCGGTACAACTCCCTTTTTCCAAAAATGCTCCCAGTATCCTTCGCATCATGCCCCTTTTATACATTTTCCTCCCTTATGTAAAAGCATCGTTTGTGAAGATCCCATTTTTTTTCCCGTCAAAAACTATGGTACAATGCCCCAAACATCCCTTCCCGTCGTCGCATAAGCCAGATATTGCAAACCCCCAAGTCATGTTGCCTTTCAACCTCAGTCAGTCCAAGCCATTGCCCCAGTCCCTCCAAAATGACAATCCCATGGACATGGTCAGAGACAAACCATAGTGTGGGCAAGGTTGTGGTCAGTCTTTAGCTTGTGGCTACTTATTTTTCTTATCTTCGGCCTCCTGAAGCCATTGTTCCACTGGGTCCCGGCTTAGAAATCTGACCAATCGTTGCCCCGGAAAGGGCCCTTTCAATCCAGTTTCATCAAAATCTTCCAGTTCGAAGGTGTTCAGTCCCACCCGCTTGGCGACTCGGTAGGGGCCTTTGAACCTTCTTCCCAGTTGTCCCGACCAAGTACTTTCTAGTGCCGAGTTCCTTAGCAATACCATCTCTCTCACTTGAAGTGGCTCCTTTCTGACATTCTTAACCTGGTCCCACCTTGCTTTGTCCCTCATTCTGCTGTCTAGTACGCGGTTGGCGATGTCTTCCATGACCTCCTCGTTCTTAAGGATTTGTTGACATCTTGCCTCGATTAACTCTTCAGTAGTCATTTGCGGATCATCATCTAACCTATTCCAGGTAGGTACCAAGGCTTCCACAGGGAATTCGATCTCTCTTCCGTACCAAAGTTCCGCCGAGATACATCCCGTTGTCCTTTTAGAGGTCATATTCTCCGCAAAGACAGCCTGCTTAAGATACCTAGGCCAATTCCCCAGATGGTCCGTTGCGAGCTTCGCAATCGTGTTCTTCAAGGTTCGGTGTCCCCTTTCCACAGATGCATTAGCCTCAGGGTGATACGGCTCCATGAGTTTGATCGGTATGCAGAGTCTCTTAAGCATCCCCAATACTTCTTGGTTCACGAACTCCGTCTCATTGTCTGCTATAAACCTCCTGACGAAAGGATGTCTCAAGTAGAAGTCTTCTATCCAGTTCGCCACACTTCTCCCTGTCTTTTTCTTGAGGGCGACCGTCTCTACGAACCCACTCAAGTTGTCTCGCGCATCCAGGATATACCTGTACCCATCCGTTGATACAGGCATGACCGCAAGGTCAAGGTGGACCAAATGTCCCGGCCCTAGCACCCGTGTTGGTTTAACCGGCTCGAAGACTCGCACCGAGCTTCGTTCTTGGCAAATAAGGCAAGTCTGGCAGTATACGGCGACCATGCCTGTCATGCCTGGCCAATAATAGAGTGGTGTTATCTTTGTAAGCGTTCCTTTGGACGACCGATGACCTCCAGCTAACCCGTCGTGCATTGCCTGGATAACGTCTACTTGCCTAGATCTTCCGCACACAATCCTTCTGGGCATAGCACCTTCCTCCCTTCGGAATAAATGCCCGCCCCTTAGGACATACCTTTCGGCTTCTTCTCTCGCTTTAATACTGACTTCCGTAGGTTGTTTGTTGCCTACCATCAACAACCCGATCTCCCGAAAGAGCCCTTCGTATGATGGACATAGAAAAACTCCTCCCCTTCTTGGCCCCCATCCTTTCCTTTTTGCATCTGGTTTACCACCCATTGCAACTCTTTCCTTTCCCAAGATTTCACTAAGCTCATCACTGCTTCCCGGCCTCCCTCGACCGCCATTGCTATTAGTTCCTCTTTCGGTCCTACTATCGCTCTCCATGAGTCCTTTTCTTCTCTGCGTCCTCGAGTGGTGACTGATCCTTCTCTAAGTTCTGCTACTACGGCAGGTGCCCCCTTCTCCAAAGTCTGATCAATAGTTCTCCCGATGTGCATTCCTCGCTCATCATTTCGTTATCGACCGCGAGAGTCCCTCCTTCGTATTCGAGGAATGCGTCTATGGGCTCCGCACCCCCCACCCCTTCATAGTGAAACTTCCCCACTGAGCAAAACATGCCAGCGGTACTCGAGTCCTCTCCGAACCGTACGAGATAGTCACCTATCATACGGCTCTCTATTCTACTTGCTTCGTAGTTCCAGTCTTCGAGTGAGTGAGTTGAGTGAGAGGCCGAAGTAAATAAAAGAAAACGCAAGAGCGCCCATAGGATCACGTATACAGACGATTTATTTTTCAGCTTCGCGCCTACACATTACTGTGTAAGTACCCCAAGATGATGAGGTGCCAAACGACTCCGTCGATATGAGCTCTTGGGAGTCATCAGCCAGTTATCCCCGGCGTACCTTTGATCCGTTGAGCGAGAGCCCTTCCACACGGGGCCCCCGGATCACTATGGCCGACTTTCGTCTCTGTTCGACTTGTAGGTCTCACAGTCAGGCAGGCTTTGACCATTACGCTCTACAGTTGCGCAAAATGCTAGCTTGAGCCTACCTTCGCGCGCCCCCGTTACTCTTTAAGTTTGCTTTCTGCTACTGCACAACAAAAAACAATCACTGAACAAATCGATAGTCAACTGGCTAACTTTTGTCAAAAATTTACTCAGAGTTTCTTAGCAACTCACTCGGGTTAATTCACCATTTTTCTATATCTTTGTGACTGTTTTGGGTGGGGTAGCATTGAAAAACACACCAAGGCTGCGGCGCATCATTACTTTGAAAAAGTGATCTCTTGCGAGCGCCTGCAAAACACTGAAGATTTGACGTGTAGTGTTGATAGCTTTGTTATGTTTCCAGAAAAAAGATTCTGTTTTTCGAATCCAGAAACCAGTACTACTAAAGAGTGATACAGACCCGGCTCAGCCCATCGGCCTTGTTCCTAATTCCCGCAATTCGTTTGATTTTGTAATCGAACTGCCAAATAAATCCTACCCATCTCCCCATCGTCAGGTCTATAGGTCTGTAATTCTTTAGGGCCCCTGCAACATTCGTTGGATCGATCCTAAGGATGAACCGCCTCCCAAATAGGTAGGCATGAAAGGTCTTAAGGAAGTGCAAGATGGTTAGGACCTCCTTCTTGAACTGCGAGTACCACCGCTCTGCGGAGTTCAGGGTTCTACTTTCGAACCTAATCGGCCTCTCTTTTCCTCCCTCATCCCTTTGAATCAACACGCCCCCTACGGCTAAAGGTCCTCCATCCGTCTCTAAGATGAAGGGTCGTCCTACTTCGTCATTAAAACAAGGTGCGGACAGGGCGACTGTCTCAGATGTCAATACGTCCTTAAGCTTCTGGACTGCTCCTTCTCGCTCCTCCGTCCAATCCATGGTTCCTTCCTCCCTGATCATAGCCCAGATAGGCTCTGCAATCTTGGCAAAATTCTTAATGAAGATCCTCCAGAAACCGACCACGCCTAGGAATGCTCTCACTTCCGTTGTAGTGCGAAGGGGGGTTGGCCACTGCGATATCTTGTCCGTTTTCGCCGGATCCGGCTTCCTACCGTAAGCACCGCAACGAAATCCTAGTGTGGTTACTTCTGGTACTGCTAGAATACTCTTTGGTCCACTAGCCGTGATGTTGTATACTAGGAACCGGCGGAGCAAGTCCTCGATGTCCTGTAGATGGTCTCATACAAACTCTCGGATTCCTGGTTGGACTTTTGTCTTGTCCTTCTCCTGCGCACCTTTGATCGGATTGTTGTCGATATAGGGCTCACACCTTTCTGGAAACATGTCCCCGTCCACGGCGAGCATTCTGCGTTGCCCTTCGACCACCACATTTGTGAATCCCATAGGGGTCACTTGCATCTGTAGTTGGCCTACGGGGGTGTGCATGGCGGTGTACGGCCTGTCCCGAACATCCAAGGGAAGCTGGTCGTACCCTGAGTACAGATCTATCAGGGAGTAAATGCTCCGACCGGCGTGCGATTCTGCTAATAAATCAGCCTGAGGTAGCGAGCCAGCATCCCGGATGGTTACCGGATTCAACTTCTGCAGATCCTGAATCCACCTTAGTGTCTTGTTAGGCTTTCGAAAGACGAACCATCGGTTTGCGTATGGCGACGTCGTAGGCTCGCAACGAAGGAGTCCATTTTTGCTCGAAGGAGGTCTGTCACTTCCCCTGCTATCCCAAATTCATTGGACGGCCCCTTGTCATTCCAGCACTCATGTTCTACCGTGTGGATTATGACCGGAGGGATCAGCTTCGCATCCAGTCGTCCCTTCTGGTGATCACTAAAGGCAAATGCCAGGTGAAACTCCTGGCAGGTCCTTTTGATCAGGCGGGTTTCCTCTTCCGTTAAGAACCCGTTTATCCCTATCTTCATTGTGTCAGCTACCTCAACTGGTATCTGATGTCCCTCCGTCGCCCTTCTTTCTCGGATTACTCGAAGGACCTCTCCCTCCTTCTCCATAGCTTCTTCCTTTGATGTCCCTAGCAGGATCGAGACCGGTTTTGCTTTCTTCCCTACCGGCTTGTACTTTCGAACACTTCCTTCCGGGATCTTTCTCCTAAAAAATGAACAATCGGAATCACCCTCGTTGTCTCTACGACTCGTGGTTGAATACTAACTAGTTTCCCATTCAGGCAATATCCATTTTGCACCTCTCCTTCGAACTTGGCCAAGGCCGCTGAGTCCACTCCTACCTTGTGGTGTCTGAGAGCCTTGATGAGTTGTAACAGATCGGGGTCTCGAGCACGACTTCTGGCACGTCTATGCGTACTTCTTTCCGTTTGGGCAGGCTAGCACCAAGTTCGACCTCTGACTCCTTTTCTACTACCATAACACCTAGGACTTCGTCCTCCTGCCTCCTCTTCCTCTGGGGCAGACCCATCTTGATTCACTCCTTCTTGTTGAATGCTTCCTCAATCATGATTTCTACCCTTTCTCTCATACCCTCCATCCGTGCGAAAGCCCCTTTTTGCGTGCTATCCTCGAACAATGACGACCATGTTGCCAATTTCCCCTTCGGGGGATCTCCTCCCGTTCCAAGGAGTCAGAGGAGCTCTCCCCGGCCGGTCACTGGGTCCTCTATGTCTACCATGTATGAGCCATCGTGCAAGTGCATGCCTATCATCTCCACGTTCGTGCACCACGGTCTCCCGAGGATAATGTTCTGGTTCATTTCCTCCATTACGGTCATCCGCTGAAATGACCAGATCGATTCCCTGACTCCTGCCTTTACAGCACACTTTGTGACGTACCCAGCGAACGGGATTTCCCCGCCAGCTCCCCGGATGCTCCCTGTTACTTCCTTGTTTACCGTACATCCCGTGATTGTTGCGAAATCTCTTCTTATGAGAGTGATTTCTGCTCCCCCGTCTACTAATGCGTCGGTATGATGAGTCCCGATCTGGATTTTCAGCTTCCCTACGGGCAGTGCATGAAAGCTGAGCTTTGTCCCGGGTGGTGACCTCATGACCTCGTCGCCCTCTCGGTCGGGCAAGCTCAAACGAATGTCCACAAAAGCTTTCTCGAGATCCTCCAAGTCCCCGCGACTCCTCTGAAGGTTAGCCACTTCTTGCGGAGCTTCCTCCTCCCTCTCCCCTTCTGGTAATTCGGGGTTGTCGCCTATTTCTACTCGCCGCCGAGTCAACAGTTGTCTAAGCCCTTTGAGCAACCTAAGGCTAGCCTGCAGCATGGTCTGAAAAGACACCGACACCATGGTTCCTAGTAACTTGCTAATGGTGTCGTCGATCTCAGGCAAGGATAAGATCGGGATTTGGTACCTAAACTTCTTCTTGGCAGCGGTAACTTTGTCTGTAGGCTCCTCTTCCCTAGGTTTCCCATAGACTTTTTCCGGTTCCTCGGCCTCAGGCTCTGCCTGGGGTTCCGAACATCCAGCAACCTCCTCCATCACGGTGTCACGGTTAATCTTTCTCCCAACCATTCCTAGTCGAGTGGTTGCGTTCACCCTATCACGTCCGTTGTTTTCCAAAATAAAGTTGACCTGCGGCCCGCGCCCCCGGAGTAGATCCCAGATGATCTCGCCCACCGGTTCGGCTTCTACGACCGTTATTTCTAACCCGTTGAGCATGATAATGGCTCGCCGCATCCCTCCTGGCGAGTTCCAGTATACCCGTTCCCCTTGTGGTCAAAATATCTCCCCCTTTAATGACCTGGTACACCTTCTTTTCAGAATATCATGGTTAAGCTTTGGGTACACGCGCATATAATGTCCCATCGCGGTACAGTACTTGCATTGCTTGTTAGCAGGATCTCTCCGTCCCAATCCGCGGTTGGCTACACCTGGCGGAACCACAACTTCCTGGGGAGGGAGGGCGGGTCGGGATACGTGCGCCTTTATAATTAGTAGCGCGCCCTCCATCCTTTCAATTTTATTGTCGACCCCGTGCCCCCGCTCATGTAGACTTTCAATCCCCTTTTTTACCTTGTCGCCCGTTCTACCGGTCAGATCTATAATCTCCCCTTCCTTGAGCAAGGCCAACGTTTTTGTTACTACCGTTTTCTCAGCCAGATCCGTTACTGTGCTAAAATCAACATCCCGCATGTTTACGAACTTAATCGTCTGTTGGTAAGCTGACAAGATCTTTTCTTTGTCGAACTCGGAGAACTGCCTGATGAAATATTTGCTCATTATCCGGTCCGTGACCCCGGGGATCCTTAGTGCTACTAGAGTAAATTATCGTAGGAAATCATTGTACGTTGCGAAGTTCTTCCTTTGAACACCCGCTAGGTCGGCCTCCGTTGCCATTTTCTCTGCCGCTAGGTACTTCCTCATCATCACATCCCGGGTCTCCTTCCAAGACCAGCTTGCGGCTACAATGACCATTATATCCCGTCCCAGGCTTAACGATACATGCTGTCCTAGATGATTCATATTTTCCTCCTCGGTCCACTTTAGTAACGCAACTAGGTTCTCGTAGTCGATCAGGAACTCCGTGATGTTTGCTCCATCGAAAGTCAACTTTTTCTTGGCGTCTGCTAGATAGCCTTGGTTCTTGTTCAATGCTCATGCAAGGGATGATACTATCTTCCTAAGGCCGCCTTCGGAGCTACTGGACTCGCCTGCCATGCTGGTATCTGACCCTTCCTTGCTGGCCTTTTTCCCCCCTCTAGTCTTTGTCGTTCCTTCCGGGTCGAACCATCCCAACACCCTTTCTCTGAGGTTCCGGAGTCCTTCACATCCTAGCAATACCGCAGGCGAGGTCGGCAGACGGTTAGCCCTACTGTCTATGGCTAAGGGGTTCATAGCCTTCTCTGTCTCCATTCCTGGAGAGTTCTCTCTCTCTTTCCTTCTTTTGCTCGGTGTTCCCCCACGGTCACTACCCTTGTCCCCTTGCCCAGTTCCGCCCCGACTGGTTTTCCGCTCGTCCCGCGGTACCTCCTGCAGAGAGTCTTCCTCGTTCCCAATCATCATTTCCTCAATTAACCTTGCCTTGTATTCCGCAGTTATTTTCTCTATCTCTGCTAGTTTGCGCCTCGCGTCCATGAACCTTACTTTCTTAGACACAGCTCCCTCCGAGTTCCCGGGGCTCGCCCTATCCTTATTCCTGCCCTCCTTATTTTCCTGAGTTCCCTGTCTGCTTCCCCGACTTTTTCCGAGCTCTCTCCCGATGACATTTCCTCCCGGTTTCCTTTGGTGTCATCCGGATTTGTTGATTCCCTGTCTTTCTGCCCTTCCTTGCTTTGCTCAACACTGCCTCCTAAGCCTGGTCCTCCTTCGCTTTCATGATTACCTGTCTCATCCTCCGTTGCCATACTTGCCTACTTCTGCATAACCAAAGGATCCCCCAGAACAAACGCAGTGCGAGGCATTTAGGTTCCCTAGGTTCCAATCCCGTTGGTTTATCCTTTTACTTGGCAATTACGTTTTTCCCCATTCCCATTTTCTGATGGCTTCCTTAATATGGAGCCTCGTCCGGCTCAACTGTCTCACCGAGCTAAGGGTGTGACTTAGCTTCGCTTATCACCGACTCGTTTAGAGCGCCCTTATTCCGTTGGTCGGTGCGTCGGGGTCCGGGTTGGGCAACCTGCTAGGAAAAGTTTTCCTGCGCAGAGTTCCCTGTCTGACGGTTATTGATCATCCGGGTCCGAGGCCCCCCTTTCCTATTTCTGTTGGTGGGTCTTTGAACGTAGCGGACTGTACTTGATTTGCCCTATTGGCTTGCCTGCGGGTGCTAGTCCCGTTCTCGCCCTCGTGACACTTCCGGTTCGGTAGACTCCTCGAATAGTTGAGCCACCCCCGTTAGATAATTCTCCCCTATCTCGATTTCCCTTTGGATTATGCGTTCGCACCCCGTCCAGTCTAGCCGGGGCGCACAAAACATCAAGATGTGGATGACTTCTAGTAATTCGTGGGCCCTGTTTCCCCAAAACGGCCCATGTTCCACAGCGACATCATAGAACATCCCGATGGTCGGAGAGGGAAAGTGGTATGCCCACATTATTGCCGAGTGTGCCAGCTCCCGCGCCCTTGCGAGGCTCCCGAAGACAAGGTCTATCATAAGACGGGGAACCCGGCACCTCCCCCCATTTCCACCCGGGTAAGTAAACCCACGTTTCTTCTACCCTTGACAGATTGTCCTATCCGGGTCAACGTCCGGGCGGCCCTTCGAAAGACCGGTGCCATCTCGTGACCTTGTGCTATCTCTACCCCCAACGAGTGCCAACCAATCTCAGACAGATACATGGTCCCGGTAACTTCCAGATTGGAAAACAGATCGTCTCCAGGTCCTCGATCGAGTCTCATCCCTGTCCCCCGACATTCTACCAACATGAAGGCGGCGTCCCTTCCCAAAGTCACGGCCCGCCATTCTATGTCGAACCCCCGATAGGTAGAACTCGACAGGAGGGATACTTCCCATCGTACACCGTTATTCCAGGGCGGTCCGGGGTACCGGGGCTGACGTTCCACTCGCTCACGTCTTGCTGTCATTGTTACCTTGGTGATTCCCTGCATAGTCCACATAGAAAGGATTACAGCAAATCTTCATAATCCGTCCACCTACTGCCTCCCTTGCCCTTCGTGTTTTCATTCCTCTTTTCTAGTCCCAACTATCCCTCCATACCCCTGGGAGCAGTAGCCCCCTCTGGTTGCTCGTACAACCGGTAGAGATCATCTATGTAGGTCGCGCCCCGATGTACCTCTCGCCGGATGACTCTCCACATGACCTCATCACTTATTTGTGGAACTCCTGGCCTAGTATTTACCACCGCTCGTAGAATGCAAAGCACCTCGCGCCCTTATTTGTCCCCGAAAGGCCCCATCTCTATGAAGGCCCGATAGTATTCTTGATACATTAATGCTTCGTCAAAATTTAACCTAGTTACGACAGTTACCGCCTGCTCCACTTAATTTATTCCTCCCATTCGTCTTAGCAGGAAGGGCGGTAGACTCATCCGTACGACCTCATTCGGCAGCTCAAAGACCCCTGTTGTGGCAACTTTTACCTCAGCCGTCACGTCATCTCGTTCCGGATCTGCAAACTCAAACTCCTCCCGCCAGGTTATTTGCCATGTTCCTTCGAACATTCGCACGGGATCATCCTCAGAGGCCAAGGCAATCCCAAAGGCCCGCCACCCTTGTTCCGACAGGTGTAAGGATCCCGTCGCATGTACTCGCTCTGGGAGGTCCAAATTTATGCCCCCGGATTCCCCTCTCGTACGCCACTCCAGTTTTATTACTAGATACACCGTGTCTTCCACCAACTCTACCCCCACCCAGTCCATTACCGGGTTACTCACAACGTTCCTTGATGGCAAGCTTATTTCGATCCTATCTCCTAATGCTCTTGGTGGTAGGATCCCGCGAGGCCTATCTCCCCAGAACGTCATTCGTCGGGTCATCTCGCAATGACTCCTGTCCCGCTTCCTTAGTTTGATTGCTGCACCCACCGAGATTCCGCGTCTCCCATGTTTTAGTCTTTCAGTACCCCCTTCCTATCGTACACTGGTGCCCGCCACTATCCCATCTTCATGCCTGCCCTTATTTCGGCCTCCTCGCGTCCCCTGCTGACCAATGTACATCCCTCTTTCTTATGCTACATCCTAATTCACATGCACCCTCCATACTCCGTTCTTCCTGTGGCGCTCGAACTTTGAGTCCCTTTAATCAAACCACCGCACCTCAAACAGCATAAAGACATCGTCCACATAGGATGGCGCGACCGCCGCCTCCCGGCTAATTATGGTGTCCCAAGATTCCGTGCTTACCTCTAGGCGGTCGTATTTACCTATCCTCAAGAAGGTGATGACCTCACCGGCTTTATCCCCGTAGAAGGGTCCATATTTTAAGGAGAACCTATAGAACTCCTCGGCCAGCCAGGCACATTCTATGTGTACTTTCCTCATGGAGTCGGCTACGTCTGCTATATGCTCAAAACCCCCGAACCAGTCGGTCACGAACTCGGGCACCCAAGCTGTTATGCGCAGGCAGGGAGGTCTGAGTTCTTTCCACCCTCCCATCACAACTTTGCTACTAACTTTGTCCCACCCCTCGTTGGCGAACCTCTTGCCTTCCCTCCGGGTTCGCGCCTCTGCATCCCCTAGAAGCCACATCGGGTCTTGTCCCATGGCTAACATAGTGCAAAATAGGTGTCATCCATCCTTGGAAAGGACAATCGTTCCGACTGACTCTACCTTGCCTTCTGCTATATTGTCCGAACCTTCCTCTTCCCTTATCGGGTTCCAAATCCGCTCTATCCATACATATGACAAGTCCCGGGCAACCTCAAACCCAATCCAGTCCCACGTGGTCCCCCTCCATCCGTTTCCTGTTGGTATAGACATTTTTATTCCTCCTCTGAGTCGCCGTGGTTCCCAACCTTTGAAGGTGTATTCCATCATCCTTTCTTCTCTAGTCATTTTTCCCTTTCCTGCACAATACCAGGCCACCCGTCCTTCCTAAGTTAAGTTACCCCACCCCTCTTAGAAGTCTAAGTCCTCTATCTCTTCATCTTCGTCTTCATCACTGAAGTCGTCTTCCTCGCCGTA